CTCGTCCCGCACTCGACGCCACACGAGGGGGAGGGACACGAGGCAAGAGGCGGGGGGGAGGAGAGGGGAAGAAAGAATCAGCAGGGGGAGGAGGGGGGGGTGGAGAGCTGAGGGGGCGAGTAGGGGGAGGGGGGCGAGGAGTGGGACCAGGGTGTATAGTGTATACGGAAGTATGCAGGGGGGCACGCAATGTCCCACGATGAAGACCTACTCGCCGCTGCTCGGAATGCGGGTTCCCCCCCCAGGGTCCCGCCCACCCAGCCCCACTATGCTTGCTTGTGGGACCTTGCTCTTCGCCTCCACCGTTGCAGTGGGGCCCATCACAGCTCGGGTACAGCCCTCGCTGAATTGTTGAAAGGACCTCGTTTCGTTTCTGGGAGGGGCAGCAGTGCCCGGCAAGCCCCCTAAGCCTTGGGGTGGCAGTCTTACCACACGTGTTACAACAAGGAAGCTGACCAGGGTGTGCATGGGGCCAGGAAGGGAGGATGGAAGGAAGGGGGGTGGGGGAGGGGAGAGGAGGGAGGAGAGGTGGGCAAGGTTGGCGCACGTACATCTGGCCCGACCTTCGCCCCCTCCTCCTCCTCCTCCTCCTCCTCCTCCTCCTCCTTCTCCTGCGCATCTGTCTGCTCCGACCCCTCCTCCTCTGTCCCCTCCTTTTTCTTCTCCTCATCCTTTTCCTTGCTGCTGCTCCTCCTCCTCCTCCTCCTCCTCCTCCTCCTCGCCTCCTCCTTCCTCCGCCTCCTCCTTCCTCGACCTCCTGCTGCTGCTGCTCCTCCTCTTCCTTCTCCTCCTCCTCCACCACCTCCTCCTCCTCCTCCTTCTCCTCCTCCTCCTCCTCCTCCTCCTCCTTCTCCGCCCCTCATGCTCCCCCCTCCCAACGAGTTCACAGTGAGCGCCGGCGCTGCCATGATGCGCGAGCCTCGCCGACAGAGCCGCGTGGGACACGTGCCAACACAATCGGAGGGCCCAGAGGTCCCAAGGATGTCCGAAAACATCTAAAAACCCAATTTTCGAACCTCGGGAAGACGACGACGACGACGACGACGACGACGACGACGACGACGACGACGACGACGACGACGGCGACGACGACGACGACGACGACGACGGCGACGACGGCGACGACGACGGCGACGGCGACGGCGACGGCGACGACGACGACGACGACGACGGCGGCGGCGGCGGCGGCAGCGACTGCCACACTTTGGCGAGAACGCCCCCGGGGGGGCCGACGCCTCGCGGGCGCAGGCCCGCAGGGCCGGCGGCTGCGCCGCCCCCCGGGAAGCCAAGACGAGGGCCCCACGGGCGGCCTCGCCAGTCGGCAAGCGATCAGTCCACGGTGCAACAGCGGTTTGGGCGGGGGGGGGAGCGTAGGACTCGGCAGAGGACCCAACCAAATTGCAGCTGCGAGTGTCGCAGGATATGCCCCCCTCATGAGAAGTAGCGCGCCGCGCTAGGGATGGAGCACGGGGCAATGCGGATGGGAGCCCCGAAACGTGCCCATGGTGTGCCGAAATGAGCGGGGGACGCATGCGGGGGCTGCCATCGGGGTTTTCGTTCAGAGCTCCCTATGGGGCCACAGCGTTTGCTTGGTGTGCCGAAATCGTCCGAGGCCCGCATGCGAACCCTGCCAATGGGGCCTTCGGGAGAGCTCCCTGTGGGTCCACGATCCTCGTGAGGGGTGTGCCGAATTCGCCCGAGGCCCGCATGCGAACCCTGCGGCCTTCGGTAGGGCTCCCTACGGGGCCACGATCCTCGTAAGGTGTGTGGCAAGATGAAGAAGGCTCCAAGAGGCCCCCGAGATGTCTCCAAGCGGCCCCTGAATGGCCCCCAGGCGGCCTCAGAGAGCCCAAGATTACCTCCAAGATGGCTCAAGATAGCCCAAACTGGCTCAAAATTGTCCCAAAATGCCCCAAGACCGCTCTAAGATGGCCATGGAGCCTCCCCAGGAGGCCGCCAAGAGGCCAACATCCAGATGGCTCCAACACGCTGTGCAGGCCGGCCCCCCTCGCTGTTTGACTACGCGTGTCTCTTCCTGTCTCCCCCCGTCAGCTCTCATGGGCATCGTTTCTGGATGGGCTGGTGGGGATACTTTTTTGGTCGCAGCCACCAGCGAGCGCCCAAGCGGCGAGAGGAGTTGTCCGGGCCAGCGGGCAAACCGAATTAACTACTGAGCGCAGCACGAGCCGGCCGGGCCAGCTCACAAACGCGGCAGCTGGGGCAGCGGCTGCGGGGGGCTAGCTGGCTGAACTGGAACGCCCAGGGAAGCTCGAGCAACGTGTAGCCCTGCGGCAAAATGCCAGGGAATTCTGTGTTCCGCGCTGTGGCAGCGAGACGTGGTAAGCGATGGGCCGTCGCCGGTGGGGCGCCAAGCCCAAGCCGCGCCAACGGCGCGTGCGCGCCAGCTGTGCTGCACCGCCGAACAACGTCGAATACCAAGCCGGGCGGGGGGTGGGCCCGGAGGGCGGCCAAGGCTGCGAAGGCTGAACCACTCGGAGCTGGCTGTTCTGGTGGGGATACTTTTTGGTCGGCGGCCCCAAGGCAATGGTCAAGGAGCGGAAGTGGCGTCTGGGATGCGGCACGGACTGGTGGGGATACGCGAAGCGTCAAGAATTCTTCTCTCAGCGTCTTGACCGTACGCGCAAGAGTACCAGGCAATAGTAACTTTTGGTGCGCGGCTTTCAGGGGGCGGGGGGGGGAGGGGGGGGCAAGCCCGAGCGCGCAAGCCGCTTCGACAGCATCACGGTCAGCCGCGTTGGGACCCGAGTGTGCTCGCACCAGAAGCCGCTCTGGCGAAAAATCTCTCTTTCGTGTAGCTAGGTGAGCGTTTCTTTATTCGGCGTTTCGACATTGGGCGGCAGGGGGGGAGGGGGGGGGGAGTCTGCGACTGTTTGCAAGAGTGCTGCCTCTCGGGGAGACCCCACCCGCTCGAAATGGGCGCAAAAAAACAGCAAAGATCTACTCCAGTTGAGGTTGGGGGGGGGGGGGGGGGGAGGGGGGGGGGAGCCCAGCGCCGATCGGTAAAACAATTAATAAAACGATCACCAGAGATCGCCGACGACCTGGTTTGTTCGAGTCGTCCGCCCCAGGAGCCCTCGGGTCGCGTGCGGCGCGCGCGCCGCGTGCAATCCCTCGAGGGGCCGCCGGCGTGAGCTTCCGGGCGACGCCCCGCCCAGTTTCGCTAGCTCTGGGAAAGCTTCGTTGGTTCCCGGAGGCCTTCTCTCGGGTCGGGCGAAAGGGGGGGATAGCAAAAGGGGGGGTTTGAGAATCAGCTCACGTAGCTGATTTTCCCGGCGCCTCCCGGCGCCGGAGGCGGCTATGTATCGAGGAATGGGCCCCTCGGTGAGGCCGAAATCAGCTGCATGCAGCAAATTTCGTAACCCCCCCTTTCCCAATCCCCCCCTTTCGCCCGGCCCGATTCTCACGGACGGCTTTCCAAAAGCTGCGCCTCGTCGAGAGCTTCACGGGGGTACCCATCCGTTGAGATGCTCTCTGGTCCTCCCTGGCACGCCTTCCTCCCTCAGGGGTGGGTGGGCGAAGAGGAAAGAGGAGGCGCATGATGTGATGTATGTTTGTTGCAAGCAGTTCGACTGTGCCCTAGATGCTTGGCGTAGAACATTCAGATGCAAGGACCCCTCCCGAATCCGCCGATCCGGCGTGTGAGTTTCTGAGAGCGTGGACTTGAGCTCGCTCGAGCTTCGCTCTGCAAAGGGGGGGGCCGACGTTATTTCCGACGTCATTTCCAACGTTTTTCGGTACCCGGGGATATTTCCGACGTCATTTCCGACGTTTTTTCGGTACCCGGGGACAGGGGGGTCTAGAAAAACTCCACTTCCGGAGCCCCGACCGCCCAAGACAGCCCAAGAGCAAGCCAAGAGAGGCCCCCTAGACAATGCAAGAGGGCCCCGAATCGCCGAAACATCGCTCGAACCGCCCAAGATGCCCCAAAGACAATTCCAGAAACCTCCAAGACGTCCCCAGAATCCTCCTCCTCCTCCTTCTCCTCCTCCTCCTCCTCATCATCATCGTCATCATCATCATCATCATCATCATCATCATCATCATCATCATCATCATCATCAGCATCATCATCATCTCGCTCTCACCCCCCCCGGATCGACGGCACTGGCCGGAGGCCAGCCCAATAGCGATGAGAGGTTGAAGCATTCCCGCGTGTTACAAGAACGCCCGCGGTCCCGATCGCGCAATTCATAATCACAACAATGCCGATTGAAATCCGTTGGCCACAAAACAGCCGCACAATTGTTGCAACGCCAACGCGGATAGGTACACAACGACCGGCATTCGTAGTTCAATGTATTGACATACCCCCCCACGCTGATCCAGCGTGCTGTGTACTGACATGACCATTATCACACGAGGGGGGGTAAACTGCTCGCCCAGCATAAGGGACGCAAGACGGGCAACTGCGCTCGGGCAGTATGCGGGACGCTCGTCACCTAAATGTGTGATAAGGACGAAAAAAGCAAGCCGACAACTGAAGACTCCACCCTCAACTGCACAGAGCTTGCGCCACTGGTGGCAAACCACATTGCTTGTGTATGCCCATCGGCGTACATGCTTCTATCTGCCAATGTCGTGGAAGAAGAAAGGAGAAACGGTCGATCAATCGCAAATTTTCAACGGCGGCCATCAAGAAGTCATGACGGCTTGCACGACATGGCCTGCTAACCTGCCTGCCAGACTGTCGAGCAACAACAAGGACCCATCATTTCTTAGCGCTGCCATCTGACATCACAATCGCCTGATCTTTATACGCCTTTACGGGCATGCCATGAACGTGGCGAATAACACGTATCGGGTATGTCGGTCGCACCTCGACAGCCGCATCGTCGTCAGATTGCCTCATTTCGACACTCTGGTTCTGGCGTTCACATGATTTAGATGAACATCGGCCGAGGGAAGCGCCACGCAGAGATCGGCCGCCCCCTCTGTGCAATACTTACCAAACTTCCTTGTGAAGCATATATCCGCCACCG